TGAAAAAAAAAAAAGTAGTGGTGTCAAGTATTGATTGAAATGTAGTGCTAAAGTGATACTCTTAAGTTAATTATGGTATCTGCTCTGTTTAGATTTAGACCATGGGTTAATTTTATGATCTATTAGAAGTAATTAATCAAGAAAGATTACTTCTTATTGAGTTATCCTTAGATCTAGAATAGGAAGTTCAAGGAGAAAGAATCATTTGTGTGGATGTTAATATATTTGTTTCTATAAGGTTATTTTATCAATCATGAAACATTTAATTACTTGCTCTTTACCAAATACTGTGCTTGAGATACAAAGAAATGGGAAAAACAGTTCCTGCCACAAGGAATTTACGTTTTAATGGATATTATTTATTTAATCCTGAGAAACATGAAGAAGGTTTTCATTTCTGCAAGTTATTTTCTAGCTGGTAGATTAGGGAAGAAGACTGTGAACCTGGACAAAAAGAACATCTGATAAAAATGGACATGCTAATACTTTCCTAAGATAATTTTGGTTTCGTATAGAGGAGACAAGTTTTAATTCCATCACACCTTGCTACCTGAAGGACCTTTAAACAAAGAATATAATAGGATGCGTTTGAAACCACGCTGCCATTAAAAATGGAGTCTTTGGACCCAAGACTGTCCCGGCCTTGTCCTGTGTTGGGGAATTTGCTCTTCACAAGCCTCGTATCTTTTCCCTAAGTAGCTCTGGAGAGTCAGGACTGACACCAGCTGGATCCCAGTCCTCTTTCCTTTAGTTCTGGTGCAATCCCTACCCCGGTTCTATTCCATTCTTTAGTTCCTTGCCTTTGATGAGTAAACAAACATTTACCACCTTTTTGCAGAGTTGTGAGAGGGTGGCAGGGCCTTTGCAGCATTTTTTTTGTTGATCAGTTTTCAATAGTGTCTGGTTTTCTTGGTAAAGATACTGGAGTGATTTCCCATTTCCTTCTTTGGCTCCTTTTACAGATGAGGAAAATGAAACAAACAGAGTTAAATGACTTATCCAGGGTCACCCAGCTAGTAAGTATCTAGGCCAGATTTGAATTTAGGAAGGTGAGTCTTCCTGAGTCTAGGCCTGGTGCTCTATCCATTGTGCCAACTAGCCCAGCTTTGTAGAGGTAGGGGGAGGGATCAATTGATATGGACATTATTATGGTTTTTGATATATTGATCAGTTTTGCTGAATTTTTTTTTAAGATGGCTATCAGGAGAGGGAGGAGTGGGTTTTAGAGGAAATTTAGGCAATATAAACACAAAAGAGATTAAAAACCTTTTTTTTTAATGGTGATTTTGGTTAGCTCTTGTCAGTCAATAAATATGACGTTTTCTTGACTGCTGCATTTTTTAAAATGATGGCACTGCAATCCTTAGTAGAAATATTATAAATCTACCAGACATTTAGACACAGCTGGAAGTCATTGCTTAGGAATAGTATAGAGTTTGAATAAGATGAGTGTTATGGATAAAGACTGGCAGAGTTATAAGAGATCCTTTGCATAGCACTTGCCTGCCTATGTAATACCTTCTTGTAGACTTTGTTATAATTTCTTTTCAAAAATACCATTCTAATGTCAGCCATTTGTCTCTCATTAAATGTTATAAAATACAAAATATTTGAAAGCAAAATCTATTCCAAACCTGTAAGAAGAAAGAGCTATGTTTAAAAAAAAATAGGTTAGAACTTATCACAGGCATTTTGCCAATAATAATTGGACATGTTTAAAAAGAAATAATATTTATGAAGTTGTTTCTAAATGGGAAAAATATTTTTCTTCCTTGATGATTTTGTAATTCTGTAGGCTAAATCACAAATTTAGAAGAATAATTATTCTTTTACAGTGATACCACATGTGGCTCTTCTATATGTAGCTCAAGGCTTTTTAAGACTTCTAATTTGTGTATGAGAATTATTATGTTATACTAGACTCTACAATACACACAATACACATGGTTCCTTTGCATGATGATGAATGCAGATGTAGTTCCAGAATCACTTAACTGTGAATCACTTAACTATCCAGAAACACTTAACTATGTGTATCACTGTTCTTTTGTGAAATTAACAGATTTCTTTGTCTTTTACCGAAAATCTAGTGATCAGGATCATTATGTTGTAAAAGACAGCCATCATCATGTAGCCAAGAATTCCTAGGATATTGTAAAAACTTTGTTGTTCATTTTTTCAAATGTTAAAAATTTTTTTCTAAAATTAAAGATTAAGGCAGCCATTATAGATATATTCCATTTCTCTCCCCTCAGTGTAAATCAGATCTCCTCTTTGTACTTGCCTTGTGAGCCAGATGAAATTAAACTGACGTATAAGAAAGGAAACATACTCTATAGAAAGTGGAAAATTAATTTAACATGTTGAAGAATTATCGCTTTTCAGTTTTCCTCTTTCTATGAAATTTCTGTTAAGTTTAAAATATGGAATTGGACTTAATTTCAAAATGTTTTTCAGTTACCATAAAGTAGATTAACATTTGATTTAATGCTGAAAAAACCATTAAAACCACCTTTGCCTTAAGAGGTTTAGTCTCAGAGAAGAACTATTGGACACTAATTTGCTAGTTAGGGTGTTTCCTACTTTAAATAAACATAGTCCCATGCTTAAAGCAAAATGTATATGCCCTGATCTCTTTTTAATTTAGTTCAGTCTTGCTAAGGGACTTCACAGAAAATCCTAAAAGGCAGATACCAGACCCTAGAAAGCCTATCAATGTTGGGTGTTGTTTATAGGTGAAAGCAGCCCTATATATTTAAACTGTCAATGAGATCAATTATCAATGTCTAATGCCAGTAGAGTATAAGATCCTTGAAACAGATACTGCTTTATTTTTATCTTTATGTCTCTAGCATCTAGTACAGTGCAGTTCTCATAATATATATGTCATGATTTAGATTGAATTGAATTATTCCAGGAAAATCATTGATATTCTTGTTGGAAAACCTGAGTCATCAGAAAAAGTTATAATATTTTTGTTGTTCAGTCGGTTTTCAGTCGTGTTTGACTCTTCATGACCCCATTTGGGGTTTTCTTGGCAAGATGCAGGAGTGGTTTGCCATTTTCTTCTCCAGCTCACTTTACAGATGAGGAAATTGAGGCAAACAGGGTTTAGTGACTTGCCCAGGGTCACACAGCTAATAAGTGTCTAAGGTCATATTTGAACTCAGAAAGATAAGTCTTCCTGACTCTAGGCCTAACTTTCTTTCTCTAAACCATCTTTTGAGGCAGGTATCATCTCCCTTTTATTGATGGAGAAACTGAGGTTCAGGGAGGTTAAGTATCTTGCCTGTGGACATATAGCCAGGAAGTGATTTAACTCAGACCCAGATGTAGATTTCAAGCAGTTTTCTTTCCATTTCACCACACTGTGATGCCTCTGCCTCCAGCCCAATTGCAGGCTTGTACCTTCTAAGAAGTTACTCTAACAGCAGACAATTTAGAGAAAAGCATGGGAGATGCGGTTGATGCAGTTTAGGGGTTCAGGGGTGCTGGGACCCCAAAATCACACCACATGGGTCCTGCCCGAAAGAATTCAACCCAAGCTTTCTTTCAGCCAAAGACAAGGTTTATTAGAACATTCATCATATTGGGCAGATTCTTAAGGAGTCTGAACATGGGTAAGCAGTGGCTAGATTATAAGAATCTAAGCAGTGGCTAGATTTTAAGAATCTGAGCATCTTCATGGAAACAGGATGGACCTTATATACAGAAAGACTGTGGGAGGGATCTAGGAGTGGCCAAGTAGTTTGGGGTGACTGGAGGAGAGGTCTAAGGAGATCTGGATGGGAGTGGCCAGTAAACTGGGGTGAACAGAACTCCTGGGACCTGGACAATGGAGCCTAGCTAGGATTAAGTGTGGGAAATGGCCGGGGGCCATAGGGAGGTAAAACAATGGAGGAGAGATTGGGTGTAGCCACAATGAAAGGCCAGTTGATGGGATTATAGCCTCGGGAATGCCAGAGATTTGGCCCTGTGGGAAAGTCCAGGTTTTTTCCTTTTGGGGTCCCAGATTCCAACTCCATCACGGTGATGGGCCATTGGGGGGGGTATGTGTCTCTACAGTACCACACCATTGCCACTACTGTGGGTTCTGGTTGCCACAGAATTTAAATTGGCTCTGATTTTTTTTTTTTTAATCTTAGACCAGGATTTCCAAGCAATAGAGGTATAGGTTTCTTTGAAAAGAAATACTTTTCAAGGCATAAGAGTCATCGTTCCCAATATTCCCCTCTTGGAACTTATGTAGCTGAGCACTATACATTACCCCCCGTAACTGTGGAATCTGTCAGGACTGTTCATGCGCAGAATGTGCTCTTGAAAATGAGCTAAAAACCTACAGGCAGCATTGCAGGAGACCAAGACTCAGTAGCTTATACCTAGAAGTGTTACCCTTATAAGTGTTTTCCTTTTTCCCCTTTTCAGTTCTCTTTTTATATGTTGTCTTTCCTCCATTAGAATGTAAGTTCCTTGAGTGCTAGGATTGTCTTTTTGTTTGTATTTGTATTTCCTCCCCACCCATCCTTTTCCCCTCCCCTTAGCACAATGCCTAGCACATAGAGTTTAACAAATGTTTTCCTCCCTCCTTTCCTTCCTTCCTTCACTCCCTCCCTTCCTCCTTCTCTCCCATTATACTATTTTATAAATCAGGGGAACATATTGATACATTTTGGGATATTTTCTGAAGAACATGTTTAAACTAAAAGAATCCTTGAACTATAAAAGGGCAAGTTTTAATAATTAGGAAAATTCACTTATGTGAATAGCTCTTTTCATGACAATGTTGAATGAATTTAGGTGTTATTTAGTTTGAATTCTGTATTGTACCAAATGTTACAAATGTCAATTAAGACCCAACATTTGCCACGATAGGCCCTTTTGGGTTATAAAGTACTGAATTTCATAGTTTCCAGGAAAGATATCTTGAAAAAAAATTCAGCATATATCTCTGAGCTTACAAAACATATTTCAGACAAATAAAAATTTTCTCTTTTCCTTAGAATCACGACCATTGTCAGTACCAATGAAAGCCATGATGAGTACAACTGAAACCAGCAAGAGTCCTGAGGAAAGAATGAAAGAGTTTATTGGGATAGTATGGAATGCAGTTAAGAGTCTTACTCTACAGGTAAAATAAAAGGGAGGGGAAAATATCATATATCTTCTATTTTTATGCCATTTTTTTCTACATTTGAAGAAGTAGTGTGATGGAGTCAACAGGGAGTTAGACTCAAATCGAGGAAGCTCTGGACTTGAGTTCTGCCTCTTGACACATAGTGGCTCTATGTGATCCTGCACAAGACACCTCACTTTTCAGTGTTCAAGGCACTCTCAATTTCAGAAAATGTGTTGACTTTCATTGATATAGGAAGGTTCCTCCCCTCTGTAATAATGAAATCATAGGTCTAGGCCTTATCCTTACCCTTTTCTGGATTTTAACACTTGTAATTTCTGTTTTAAAAATTCTCTTCTCTTATTTGCATGAATGCATTGTTTCTTTAGTTTAGTTTGAGAATGATAATTTAATTTCTTGCGAGAGGGACTCTCTTGCAAACTTGACATAAACATTTATTTTTAAATAACAGTTTTTTCTATATACTCATATTTTATGCTTGTTATAAATAAAGTAACAGAATCATGAAATCAGTTTTGTTATTGTTCAGTCTTATCCGACTCTTCATGACCCCGATGGACCATAGCACTCCAGGCCCTTCTGTCCTCTCAAAGTCAACAGACAGCAACTTCACGTTCCTTATTTCTGTGACACTATATATCTATCTCATCCTCTGCTGTCCCCTTTTCCTTTTGCCTTCAGTCTTTCCCAACATCATGGTCTTTTCCAGTGAGTTCTGTGTTCTCAATATGTGGCCAAAGTATTTAAGCTTTAGCTTCAGTAAAGTAGGTTCTGTTGGTTGAATCTTACACACTTGCATCTTGTTATGAAGGCTCAAATGTATTTCAGCATTAACGTATGAAATAAAGATTTAATATTGTGTGCATGTCTTCATATGCCATCATTATAGAAATTTGTCTTAAAAGGAACAATGTTCTTCTAACTTTTTGTCCATTCCAGGCAAGAATCATATAGGCAGCCAATTTTATTTACAGAATGTCACATCCAAGCTTAGAATTTTAGTCAGCTGGGAATACTTTCCATTCCAGAGGAAATGTCACTTCAGGGAAATCAAGTCAGGAAGGTCCTAATTCAGCCCATGCCAAAAGTTGCCCCTCCTAGTTTTCCCTGAGACAAAACTCCACCTGCAGTTCACAGATGTCACCTCGTAGGACTGCTGGCCTTATGGATGATTGGCTCCCTATCATTTCTTGACAGTCATGTCTGGAATCATACTCAGAATAATATCAATTATCGTCCCATAAGATTTTACTTCAAATAGCAAGTTTCACTAATTATGCTTGAGGCTAAGTTATTGTTATTCTTCTCATGATGTTGCAACGATAAAGTTTACCAGGCTTTTAAAAATTTACTCAGTATCCCTTTCTTCCTTTTGTCTTCTTCTCCAAGAGTCTAAACACATCTTGGTGTAAACATCTACCATTAGAAAGCTAGAAAATAATTATATCCTAGATTTCCTCATAGATAATTAATACATGGTAGTTTACTCAAACTCCTAGAAAAACAACACTAGCCAGTTGCTAAAAACCTCCAGACTAACAAATGGTCATCTCTTATCATATATTAACCCTCACAACAAAATAAAATTTCTAAGACTGTTATCCATTGAGACTAAGTTGATTAAAGATATGATGTCAGTATAGACCATTCCAAAGATAACTTCATAATTCACAATAAATAGTTCTATGCTATAAACAAATTCCTAATTACTTCCCACCTCTTGTCAAGGAGTGTTTGCAATGAAACAAAGCACTCTGTGAGATCTTAGGTGGAAGATCATGAGCAATCAAGGGTATGAGAGAAAACTTCACAGGGATATTGCAATTGAGTTAGACATTAAAGGATGGTAGGAGTTGAACAGATAATGGCAATTGATTCTTGTTTCATACCACAAAATGAATATCTAAAAATATTAGAGAAGCATTTGTAGTGTCTTCTTCCTGAATGCATAAGGAAAAGATGTGAGGAAAACTACCAGGTCAAGCAGAATAATGATATAACCCATTGCTTTACATATGGCTATGTTCATAGTCTAAATTATAATGTTGAGTATTACTTACTAAACAATTAAAATCACATGCCATTATGTTGGATATTGTATAAAGCAGACCAAATGGAAATGATTCCTCTTTTTATCAGCTTCTCATTTGAAAAGGATTAACAAGGAAAAACATAACATGATTATGAAAAAGTAAAAACTATCTGATTCTAAGGAAGTTATGTATGGTTTGTATTCTCTTTTAATGTATATCAACAACCTAAGAGACTTAAATTAACCTTCACAGCAGGGACCTGTGACTATCTGCTGTAAGAAAGTATCGTACCACTTTATAAAATGCTCATAAAAGAACCAGGCCATCTTACTGTCTTCAAAGAGAGTTCTTTGTTGCTGAAATTAAACAAGTAGTAAATGTCTTAGAAAGACACAGGATACGTTTTTTAAAAAAAATTTTTTTTGGAGGGAATATACTGTCATTCTTTTGTAAAAGGATACTTTTCCTTTGTGCTTATGTTATCCTTTATTAGTCATAATAATATTAATATATTATAATTTAATTTATCACTTCATTAAATTATAATTTAATTTAAAAATTATAAATTATAATTTAATATATTCAATTTTTTTAAGCTGAAAAATAGTTCCTCTGTAGTTCTGAAAAAAATACTAGGCTTCAGTTGTTTGGGTAGGTTTTGGGAACACCTTGCAATAAAAAAAAAAAAAGTGGTAGGCTTGTAAACAATTAGAAGTTGTCTTGGGAAAGCCATTGAAATTAAATGAGAGGAGAATTCAGAAGGCACTGGAGGTTGGCTCTTGGACCCAACTATAACCACAGCTCTTGAATGGACTAGTTTTGGATACGTGGGGATAATAATAGCATTTGGGTACATTTTAGGATGCCATTGCAAAGGAAATAGAATCTCTTGGACAGCTAATAATTTCTTTCATTTAATGTTTGGTTGAGGAACTTACTCTGTTTCCATTGACTCTTGAGATGTAAAAGTGTTACTATTTACTACTTTATTTTTAGGGATTTCATCATCTCCCAAGGATTCATTTCTTTTCTCTATGTAGATTATCCCAAATCTGTATATCCAATCTCCTTACTGAGCTCCAGGCTTGTATTACCAACTACCTTTTGGACATTTCCGACTAGATGTCCTATCAACATGTCAAAATCAACATGTCCACAATGGAATTGTTTTTCTTCCAAATCTATACCTCTTTTTAATTTCTCTTGTTCTTTTGAAGTTACCAACTTTTTTCCAGTCAAACAAGGTTGCAATCTCAAAGTATTCCTGACTCTTTTTCTATAACCCTATATTCGTTTGTCAATACTTGCTAGTTCTTCCTTCACACTGTCTTTTGAGTCTGTCCCATTTTCTGCACTCAGAAGTTCATTCTGCAGTTTTGGGTGTTGTCTGCCCCTCAAAAAACTTTAACTTTGTTTTTCCTCCATATATACTTACCTTATTTCCCCACCTCCACGGAGCAAGCTTCTTGGGGGGTATGCCCAATGAGCAGTTTCGATTTGTCTTTGTATTCACAACTCCTAGCATAGTATCTGGCTTATAGTAGATATCCAGTAAATGCCTGTTGAATTGATTCCACAAATATTTAGTGAGGAGGTATGTATTAAATATTACAGAGATATAATATAGGGTTTAGTAATAATAACACATTGCTAAATATGAGGCATATGAGCATTGATTTATTGGACCCATGAAGCATATACTCAGTGCATTAGGTACAGCTTTAGGTACTGAGGGAGATACAAATATATATGTATATAAAGTGGAATGTATATGTACATTTCTATATATGTATATGTACATTTCTATATATGTATATGTATGTGTATATATGTATATGAACATATTTGTAAAATGTAAGGTCATTACACTCAAGATTACAATACATAGGGGAAAATAAGTACAATAGAATGTAAACTAAGTCTATAAAAGTATTATGGAGAAAGAAACATAGCAGGAAGAACAATGGACTTGAAATCAAAAGACCTGGTTTTAAATTCCAGGTTTGGCCCTTAACTAGCATTTATCCTCTCAGGGTCTCAGCTTTCTCAATTGTGTAAGTAGGGAATTGGGCAAGATGATTTCCAAGGCCATTGCTAGGTTTGACCTTCTCTTATTCAGAGATCAATCACTTCTACCTCAGCAGAGAAGGTGGCATGACATTGATATAAAAAGATAGGATATAAATAGGTAGAATTTGGGGATGGCAGAAAGAGGTCATTCCAGGTACATGGAAAAGTATGAGTAAAGGTACAGTGTAACAGAGAGGCAGTATGGCATAGGTCAGCTACTGAGTGTGGAAAACTTGGTTTTTAATCTTTCCTCCTATACATACTAATGTCACAATTACTCAGTACTCCAGGAAACTTTCTAAGAACATAAATTATAGATGGAGTTGCAGATCTTTATCTGTGGAGTGAGATTCCACATAAGGGATTCCCAGTGCTAATGAAATTATAAGGTTCCCCTCAACTCTGCAAAAGAAAAAGAAAATGCCATTGCCATAGAATTTATCCAGGGAATAACAAGTAATCTCATTTGGCCAGGAATATTTTGAGTTACAGTTGAAAAGATTTTTGATAGCCAGATTTTGGAGGACATTAAATATCAAAGTAAGGACTCTGGGCTTGATTTAGGACAAAGCATGGAAATATTGAATATAACTCAGTATTGGAATGACACAATCAGATCTATGGATTAGGAAAATGAATTTGCCAATATTCTTCACGACCCCATTTGGAGTTTTCTTGGCAAAGATACTGGAGTGATTTGCCATTTCTTTCTCCAGCTCATTTTACAGATTAAGAAACTGAGGCAAACAGGGTTAAATGACTTACCCAGGGTTATGCAGCTAGTAAGAATCTAATGCCAGATTCGAACTCAGGGAGATGAGTCTTCCTAATTCCAAGCTCAGTGCTGTATCCACTGTGCCACCTCACTGCCTTGTGTGTTGGGGTGGGGAA